GTTAAGTTAATACTTATTCACATTTACTTTTTATTAATTTATTTCTGTTTTTTTTAGTTATTAATATTTTCAACTCAAAATTCATAAACAWCAAACTATTCTTTCATTACRTATACTATGGGCAAAAAATAGTAAGACYTTGTYCATAACTTTAAAATKTTTAATTCATTCCTAAAATTTATGGCGTCTCCTTAAAATAATTCTCCTTGGCCTCAATACATCAATACACTTGGGCCAACGTGTTTTCCGATCCTCGAAACAGTTATTCAAAACAATTTCCGGAATACGCGGAAATCTTCAATTGACTCAAAACGGTTTCCCCAGAGCAGGCGCTTAAGTTTGCTRACTAGCCAGGAGTCACACGGAGCTAAATCTGGTGAATATGGTGGATGAAAATTTGCAGTTTACGGCGGTATTTTATCGTGGTGCAAAATGAAGAGTTTTCGGTCCATAATTCCGGGCACTTTTTACGAATGGTTTCGTACAAACAACGCTTAATACTCAAATAATATTCCTTGCTGACAGTAATTGAAGAAAACTGTCCAAATAACCYTGATTTTTGAACTGCTTTTACGTTTTTTTCAGCTTCGGCTCAGCTTTGTCGGAAAGCATTGTTTCACCGCCGTAACGCGACGSTGTTTTTTGAAAAAATTGAGTAATTTTAGAACCTATCGTGCTTTCACTTTTCTTTGGCCCAAAGAATCTTTCAAAATGGTTTTRACTGGTCTTTCCGATATTTCAAGGATACCAGTAAGTTCTCTGASTGTTAATCGTGAATTCTCAAGCACCAATTATTTTAYTTTATTGACGTATTGATCGTCAATTGATGTTGATGGCCGTGCTGGACATGGCTCGCCGTCAACGCGTTCTYGACCCTATTTGAATCATTTGTACCAATCAAAAACCCTTKKTCGCATCAAAAAATTATCACTAAAGGCCTTTTCCAACATTCTGAACGTTCGGCACCAGAAAAATTATTCCGCACACAGAATTTAATGGAACTTCTTTGTTGAATAATTTTACTCAATAAAAAATCGCCAAATCTACTTTATGTATTTCAGAGTATACAAGCGCACTAATGATTATTTTAATGTTTTGGCAAACAAATGTCACTGACAGTCATAACAACCCAGAAAAAGAAATATTTTGGACGCATGGGTTCTCGTGCGAAACTTAAATTAAAAAAAGTCTTATTATTTTTTGTCCACAGTAATATACATACATATGTATGTATGTATGTTCATATGTACACTATATATGTACATACATATATTTTTTTCCAATGATTTAAATATGTTTTCTAACTGTTCTTGACACTTTTTATGGCTACTTTTGAAAAAAAAATCTTATTTTTATATTTTGTTTTTATTTTATACATATTTTTTTCATTTTCCAGCAGTACACCGATCACATTTGCATTGACAGCAACGACGACGTTGGCTGCGCGCGCACGCACGAAATTCACACACACTTGCAAAATATAATAAAAGCCTAATAWAAAATACATACACATACATATATATATACATAAGTACATATGCATGGATATGGTTTTGAAGAAGTCGACGAGCACATCGACGACGCTGCAACGCAGGCGTCGACGTACACGGTAACGCCAACGCCAACGCCAATGTCCCGACGACGCTGCTATTCCCGATGTTGACCAAACGACAATGGGTACAGATTTTCCGCCGAGCGGGACGCTTACTTCGGGGTAGATATATCTACTATGTGCTATTTGTAATACACAAACGAATATGTATGCATGTATGTATGTGTGCGTGTGMGAGATAAGGTTGTATGTGCTGGCTTGTTTGGCTATGTATGTACATATGTAGGCGCTTCTGCACCGCAGCGCTGCTGTTTGGCCCCAACTTCGCGCTGTGTCGCGCCAATCAGCGTCGTTTTTACGCTACACACACACAGGCACAGCGATTTTTCCACACTATATACACTTTTTGTAAACTTTTCTTTCTAATTTTCGCACTTAAAAAAATAATGGCATTTCGCTTTTCTCGCGCACTTTTCGCAATTTTTTTCGTATATTTTATGAACTATCTATGAAGTCTYGTTGTGCTATTACACATATGTATGTATGCTTACACTTGGCCGTTGATTTGGAGAGCGTGTACTTGGCTTGGCTTGGCTGTTTAATACAAATTTTCTTTCATTTTTTTTTTTTTTTTGCTTATGTTTTGTGTTTTCTTATTTTATGTGGATATTTGCAATGAATTCTTGCCCAAGCAGCAGCACTCAATATGTGGTACTCCCAGCGGGGCCACTGACCACCTGAACCCGACCGTTTAGCTATGGTAGAGCGAATCAAACTGATTTCGAACGAAACACTCGACCAGGAGCACGGCAAGCAGCAGTGGCGCCGCCGTTTGGTTCCGAGCGCGTTTACCAACTTCCAGTCGCCGTGGCGGACAGCGTCGACAGCGAAGGCAGTGCGCAACAACAAACACAACAAACCATGCGATTGCTCGTGTGACTGCTGTCTGCCTAACTGTCAGTCGGCCGAGCTCCAACTTGCTCAAATTAGTGAATACATTCTTCTTTTCGACAAAAGAAAACAAAAGTGAGCGCTTTCGCAATAAATACCAACGACAAATACATATGTACATACATATGAACATATCATAAAAAGCTTGCTCTTCGTTATTCGTGTATGTCGGCCGCTAGCTCGAACACTCGATAACAACTTTGGATATTTGGCAAAAAGCTCCGTTGTTTTCCAACCGCCCGAAATCAGCAGGTAGATAATAGTATACGTGGGTCGCTCTCACTTCTTGTCGTGTTGTGTTTTGTGGGAGAGAGCTTAATCGCTCTCATTTCAGCTCATCTGTGTCTCTCGCATTCAACGAACTGCCGTAGACGCTCTGCACTTGCCATCCACTCGGTTGAAGAGTGCCCCCATCACTATCCAACTTATAATCAAAGTCTTCAGAACTTGCACGAAGATAACCGAGTGAGTTTTTGCTTTGCTTTTATCAATAATATATGTAAGTCTCAGCGCGTGCACTCTTTTTTCATTCATTCTGTTCCGTTAGGGAACTAATGTACATATATACATATACGTATGTATATGTTCCTTAGGGGTACCACAACAAATGCTTTGTTAGTGTAGGGGATGTGGAACAGTGAACAAGACAGAAAAAAAACTTTTTACTCTGTATTCTCCGAGAACAATCGTTTTTGGCAACTTTAGAGATGTTATACGCAGCGGAGGCGCTATAAAGTATTTGTACTATAAATGACCATGACGAGCTGAGTCTGTTTGTCGGGCCGAATATACATAYRTAYRTAYRTATATGCGGATTCTAGTCTCTCAGTTTTTGAGGTTTTTTGATACTTCCTTTACTCACCAGAAAGCTGTTATTTTGAAGGAATCGCCGAAATCCGATAAAAAAAAATATAAAAAAAATTA